CTAATTATCTGTTTTTCGCTGTTATAAAATCTAAACACTTTAAAATTTTTCTTATACATTTACAACAATATTAAAATTGACATATTTGTCTTTCAAAATCATGCAATTTCCTCTTTTTGCAAACTATTGGGATGACCTTTCCTCCCCCTCTTCTTTCCCCCAGTTAAGCGTACCTGGTTACTATGGTCATATGACTAGCAGGCCACCTTGTGGCAGTATTACTTTTTATCCTAAAATGTCTTTTTTATACAAATTATTTCTTTTCAAGAAAATACCTCATTCTAAAAATCCTGTTTACATAAAATATTTCAAGAAATTACCTTCTACATAAATTATCGTTTCTGCAGATTATAAGATATTTAGCCAGTTTTCATTAATTTTAATACTTAGATTTTTGTTTATGCATTTTTTGCTTTTGAGAATTTCTACACTTTCTTTAAACTTTCTACTATATGTTTCTTTTTCTTTGTGGAGTATTTGTATATTATCTTTATCTATTGTACAATCATTCATGGTGCAATGATCATGGAAGGCAGAATTTAGTCTATTGTATTTCAGATCTGCTGTATGTTCTTTTAATCTAGTTTTTAACTTCCTTTTTGTTTCTCCTATATAATATTTATTATCGCTACAAGTACAATGAATTTTATACACAACGTTCTTAGTTTCTGTTGGTGGTTGTTGTTTTTTCTCATTTTCAAACTGTTTTAATTTTGTATACATTTTTTGGTATGACGGTGCTAACTTAAAGTGCATATTGCTTATTTTGTTATCAATTTGTTTGTGTAATCCTTTAATATATGGAAATCTAATATACTTAATGCGATTTGTTTTTTTATTATCCTGTTGTGTTTTAGGATTATTTATCTTAAGTTCCCATTTTTTCACTAGTCTTTGTGGGTAGCCTGCCAGGAGAAACTTCTTTTTTAATTCGGCTAAATCTGCGGATATATGTATTTCTTGACTTGTCCTGTTTTTTATCTTAGAATATTCCATTTTAAATATGTTATATTTGACGTGAAGTGGTACGTTGGATTGGTATCGTATTGTTATCTGACTCGATCCAGGCTTTCTAAATGTTCTAAATTCTAAACTTTGTTTTAATCTTCTTATCGTAATGTCTAAATAGTTGATTTCTTTTCTGGTTGTGTATTCTATTTCTGTTTTAAATTTTATCTCTTCCTGTATATTATTAATTTGTTTATTGATGTCTTCTATCTTTATTTCTGTTTCGTTGTATATTATTAGAATATCATCCACGTATCTTTTATAAAATTTTACGCTTCTTATATTGCTGATTATGTTATCTATGTCTATCATTATTAATTCTGCTAACTTTGGTCCAATTACTGATCCCATGCTTATTCCGCTTGTCTGTGTATAAAAATAATTGTCAACTTGGAAATAATTACTTCTATATGCAAATTCTATTAAACTTATTAATTCATTTTTAACTTCAAGATTTTTTAATTTATCTTCTATAAGTTCCCACGTTATTGACGGGTACATGTCTATAATGTCGAAACTTGCTATTTTAAAGTTTTCTTCTATACTAATTTTATTCAATTCTTCTAGAAGTTCATCCGTGTTTTTAATTGCAAATCTTGAGTTAGGATACTGTTTTAGTTGTTGCTTTAGGAATTTTTCTAAGTTACATAGTGTTGAATATTTAAAGTCTATTATTGGCCAGACTTTTTCACCTATCTTATGAGTTTTTAATTGTATATTTAGTTTTGGTATGCGATCATTTCCTTCAATTAAAATAAACCATTTTTCATTTTTGTCAATTTCTCCTAGTTGTTCTAATTTTGTAATTCTTTTCTTAAGTTCTAAATATATAACCTCAGTAGGGTTTACAGGGAGTTTCCTGAATTTTGTATTCTGTATTATCACTTGTTTCTTGTTTTTAATCCATTCTTGGGTAACTAATACAGTTTGTTTGGATTTGTCGGCTTTTATGATTTCTATTTCATTTTCTTTCAAAAAATTATGTAGTTTCCTGATTTCATTTTGGTATTGAAAATAATTCTTATCTCTGACAATTGATTTTTCTCCTTCTTTAGTTACGTATTTTTTAATTTTATTACTTAGTTTCATTTTCATCATATTCGATTAAATATCCGAGAGATTATTACTTATTTTGTCCAAATTTGGTATTATATCTAAAACATTCCATCTATTTGGACCATTAAAGTCTAATCCTTTGTGTAATATTTCTCTGATGTTTGTTGGAATATCTATTTTTGTTTTATTTAAAATAAGACTCTCTTTCCATTCTGCCAATTCTTCAATGGTAGGATATTGGAATTTTTTAACTAGACTTTTATATTTATTTGTTTCATATCTTTGATTGTTCTCTGTCTTTTCATTTGTATTTTTTAATTTGTCTGATTTGTTCTTTGCTTCAAGTTTTTTCATAGTACGTTTTAATCTTCTAATCCGAATATATTTGTATTGTATTGCAGCTCTTAGAATTTTAAAATTAATAGAATTTCTTTCTCTTGTGGGTATAGCTTCAGCTATTGATCTTGGTAATGTTAATGTTGTTAAAAGTCTCTTTTCTATCAAATGTGTTTTAAGGTAATTTATGTCTATAATATGCCTATCGATCTTACCTTGCAGTTTTTCTCTGTAATTGTTGTTGTTTTTTTGTTGACCCTTATCCATTTTTTGATGATTGTTGCCGTTTCAGCTTCGGAAAAACGAAATATCCATATAAAAAGGTTTTAAAATATTTTAGATAAAATAAAAAACGGTATGTTTCTTAGATTAAAGTGTGTTAAGGGCCAAGAAGTTTTTGTAATTCCATAACAACAAGTAAACATAGGCAATGGAAATTTGTGGTTTTAATATCTTGATAACCTGTAAATTAAAAAGGTATGTTTTTAAAAAAACAATACCTAATATGTTTGTTGTTTATAATTTTATAGTGTTGTAACTTATGAACTTTTGTTTTTAGTTGGCTGAAGCGGGGCAATAAATGCCCGAAACGTGTGTAAATAATATCAACACGTATCAACTAAATAAAAATTTGATGATAAAAATTGCCAAGTGCCTGAAAATAAATACAATAATAATTTGTGTTTGAATTACTACTAATAACTACTAGCACGGTTTCAAAGTACCAGACCCAATCATTGTCAACATAATTTGTTTCATACAATTGTACCTTTAGTATTTTTCTTTCACCTTGTTTATCCTTTTCTACACAAACAGTGGACTTGTGTTGCTTACCATAATTCTTGTGAATATTTTTATTTGTTCTTTGTCTCTTAAAAGCATCTTCACTTGCCTTATTTTTGTTGTTTAAATGCCAACATTCACTTTTATAATGATTACTTTTGTGGCAGTAAGTGCAAAATTTCTTTTCTTTGTAGTTCCACTTTTCAGCATTTTTGCTTTTAAATGCTAAGGCTTGTCCCAATGAACTTTGTTTACTTTGTAAACGCCTTTCATATTCATCTATCAATTTACTTGTTATATATCCTTGTGTTAGTTCTTCTTCATCCTTACTTTCTAGTGCAGTTATTAAAGTAGAATATGACTCTGGTAAACTACATAGCAGTATAGCACATAAGTGTGACTCTTTGATCTGTTCACCAATGCATTCCAGGCGTTCCTTCAATCCAAGAATATCTTTTATGTGATCCTGCATTTTCGTGTTCTCATCATACTTTATAGAATAAAGCTTTCTAAGTAAAAATAATTTGCTTGTTAAGTTAGCTCGTTCATGGACACTTTTTAACTTTTGCCATGTTTCTGAAGCAGTCGATTCATGTATTACATGAATTATTTGAGAATCTGAAATATTTAAGCATATTAATGCTCTAGCAGTACGATCACGCTTATAGTATGCATCGTCTGGTTTTTCAGGTTTAACGCCGAATACTGCGTCATATAAATTTTCTTTAATTAATAGCATCTCCATTCGAAACTTCCATATTGAATAATTTTTATCATTTACTTTTTCAATACTATTATTATCTTCTTTTGAAACTGCCATTTGTGACGATTTACTTTTGCAAAGAGAAAAAACAATTCCAAGATGGCGGTATAATGTCAGAACAATGACAGTTGAAACGCCTTTTTCGGTAATTACTAACTCATTCGCAATGATAACTTCTATTTTGCTTATGACTTATTAAAGGACGTCATAGCTTATTGAGACATGCATTTTACATCCTTATCAGCTATTTCAGTCTCATAATCAATGTTAGGGTTAAGATCATTTATCATTTAACTTGTAACGATAAGCCAATGATAATTCGTCCATTCACAGCACAGGATAGGATGACAAATTATACATACCAGCAATGTCTTCAAAATACTTTACTGAAGTTATTGTTAATTTAAGGACATAAATCACAAAGCAGTTGACTGCACAGAGAAAAGAACAAGAAGTAAAAACGAAACCGAAACTAACAAAATTGGGATATTAATCTTAAATCACGGAACGAGATCTCGCACTCTTCTCGCGAGCACTATCGTTGAGGAGTTGTTAATAAACACGGACGTCTAACAAAAAATAGGCAAATTTCCAAAATCAAGTTTTATAATTCTATTCTAAACTTTCGTTTATGTTAATAAATGTCCTTAAATTGGTTATATCTGACTCTGCATTCTTCCTCCTGAGAGGCTCATTCCTGGACTTCAGAGTGACTCTTACCCTTGTGCCTTAATCATCCATTTCATCTCCAACAGTCCTGCCACCAGGTGTGTTTTATCAGACACACCTGGTGGCAGGACTCTACCTAAAAAGTGTTTAATAAACCTTTTACGGCCCCGAACCCCACAGCACATACAAAAAACAAGATTTTGATCACATATACAATTACCTAAAATCTAAATCCTTAACCTAATTAATACTAAACAAAGAAAACAGAGTAGATAGAGCAAGATTAAAAAAGAGAATGAAGAATTTTTAGGAAAGAGGGTACCCGGAGTTTCACGTCCTTCAATGAGGCAACTTGAATCCAGTCAGGATGTTCTTCAAAATATTTTCTTGTATCTCTTGTTTTCACAAATAACTTTAGGGTTGCTTCCAAAGAGTTTCCTCACTCTCCAATTTCAATCTTGATCCTATTCTCTATGGTTCTTAGGTTAAGGATTTATACCTAAGGTTGCACTCTATTGCTCCTGACACTACCCTAATGACACAAAGCTCGTCTCCAACATGTCTTATTCTTTGATGCCTCGCCAAAAAGTGTCTTAGCCACTTGAATTTTGCTCTCAGGGCTCTCTTTTCCCTATTGTTCATTGCCCGCACCCTTGAAAGTAAGATTGGTTAGAATGTTCTAGAAGCAGGGAAACAAAAGAAATGAAGAACAAAGGGGAATAGATAGAATTGAGATGGAAAATATAATGATATAAAAAAATATAAAATAAAACTATACATGGAATATGGCATTCTGCTACAATACTGAGTGAATGTTCNCATTAAGAACACTTAAAATTTAATAAATGATAATTTTAACATCCCTGAGTTTAGCGTTAATAAAGTTCCTTTAGCATTACTACGAACAGTTTGCTTAAGAAAAGCCATCTGCTCCACACGGTGCAGAAGATTTTACTTGCTTAAAGCGTTACTTGAGCTAGAAAATGAGCTGTACGAGCTTGGTCCACAAATCTTAAAAAAACTAACTACCGAGTTTTAGGCTTAGCTAATCAGGTGGCTGTTAGATTAAGGAAGAGGTATAAGAACAAAATGGACTGGATTAAAAGGCACCAAGAATGTCGTCGTAGAATGCAGATCAACACTACAGTTATCTGCTGGGATAGCATCACACTTCCAACATGCTTGAAAGAAGCATGTAAGTATGGACCTAAATATGCACCACTACCTAAACTCATGCACGAAAAGATCATGCTGGAAGTCGAGCAAACTATAGAGGGGCTCAGCGAAATTAAGATGGAAATGTTTAGATGGGAAGTGGCACTTAAAATCAAACAAGAAAATAGTAAAAGGGATTGCGACCCAATCTGAGCAAATATCAGAAAAAGTCAAGACTGGCTGAAAGGTAATAATCTCGTGCTCACTAGGGCCGACAAGTCGAAGGACTTAGTAGTCATAAAAAGAAGCACTTATGACGACCTTCTGTTAAAATACATAAATGATATGCAATGTATTATGGCATACCCATGCACTCTAGAAAGACTGCAGGCAAAAGTTAAAAGGTTTGCAAACACACCGCTGGCTAAAGAACTGGGTTTGATGAAAATAATCGTCCACTCTCTGTTGGCACCTACATTATTTGGATTTGCCAAAATCCACAAAAACGATAAAAGCTTAAGGTCTGTGGTTGATAAAGGATGTGCACCCACAATATTATTGAAAAGGTTTGTCAATGAGTTCATTCGCAAATATTCACCCCTACATCAATACAGCATAAAACAACCTTTAGAACTTCTACATAAAATGGCAAATATGAAGTCGCAAGAAGTTAAATATATGACTGTATGTTGGAAATTAACAAGACCTGCAGAAACAACATGGCAATTAATTACAAGGACAACAATACTGACCTCAGTGTGGAGGGCTTTATTTGAAATTTAGCAATACGGTAATACCCCAAACTTACGCGATAGGTGGGACCGAGCGATAACCGCTTAAGTCGAATTTGTGTAAGTCAGGGTATAATTTCGCATATAAATACATACAAATAATTTTTAATTGGGACCGAAGACTAAAAAAGCAATAATTTAGAAAAAAAATGTTTAATAATACCTTAGATAATACATATATATAACATATTATATTATTATACATTTTTTCACAATTACTTGATTATCACACCATAATTTTAACATTGTTTCCATCTCAGCGATAATACTGTGATGTTTACAAATAATGCTTGAATTTAAAGACTGAGCATTTTTCGCAGCTTCGAGAATTTTTTCTTTACCTTTTATAATTGTTCTGACCATCGATTCCAGTAGATCAAACTTCTTTGCCAATTTACAAATTTTCATTTTTGAATCGAAGTCTTTCATAATGTTAACTTTACATTCCAAAGATAAAGTTTTTCTTTTCTTGTTTGATGCAGAAGAATCAGTTCTACTTCATTTGGATGACATAGTAGAGTCTCTCAAGTCTCCGTAGATAAAACAAACACAGAAATAAATAACACAAAATAAATTGTAGCTATGCGTCGATTCCGCGCGACATTTCCGAACATGTAAGCTGAACAATAGTGTGGGGGCGTGAGTAATCAAGAGTTGCGTGGCACTCAGAAAAAAGACAAATCAGCGAGATTTGAAAATTGTGTAACTCCGGGTTTGCGTAAGTCGGGGTAGCGTAAGTCGAGGTATTACTGTAATTTACAACACAGAGAACACATGTGTTTTCTGACTACCAATCAGACAATTTTTTCCTATTTTAAATAGAACTCTCCATTTCTTGTTAAGTTTCTGTGTTGTTCTTTTAGCCTGGCAATGGTTACTCAATATATATATATATATATATTCTATATATAAAAATGAACATGTATGTCCCTATATTTCACTTTTTCGCCAAAATTACACATCGCACGTGAATGGTGTTTGTATGTGGTAGTAGCCCCAAGTCTCCATTCGTGCATAGGGG